CAATAGGAGACTTACGTGATGCTTAGGCTACTGCAGTGCAGTGGCGTCGTCCTTGGGGTAGACCTGCAGTAGACTCAGAATGCCCTACTCCCCAAGTCTTCCTCTCCGCCAAATTGAAATATGGCAGAAGACTGCACAGATCAGTGTGACTTTTTACTTGCAGTGTTCTTGTTAACTTTCAGAGGATCATGTGGCGCTTCTCTCTGCAGTAAGTGGCTCGCGCATGTACGCCGTTCAATACCTGATAAGTTTCAGCAAGAGCATCTCCGCAATACGATTTAAATTTCAGACCAATGTGCAGATGTACAATCAAGACAGCTCCCGACTGGAGAAGCGGCCCAATGAAGCCCTACAGTCGAACTGTTGTCATACCACACTTCGCCGATCCGCTATGTTTGTGGACGGTGGTGGCCACATCGCAAAGCTCATGTTGAAGAATATCACACAACAACTCTGTTCCAGACCCAGTAACGCGTGCAATGGCAACATTATGATGATGGATAGTTCATCGCCCACCCAATTCAGCTTCACAGTGATTCACCCGTGGATCACCAACGGCCGCCCTTTCGAAACGGAGTGCTACCGGTGAATAGTACTGGCTTTTACGATAGATAGCAACAGTCGCGAAAAGTACTTCATCGGTCCTGCTGCGGACCTCGTGCGATATATGATCCTTTTCTACGCAGGTTATGTAACTACCAGGTTATCATACCTTATAGTTATACGAATGGATTGAAGCAATGCATATACTATCATCTCTGGTGTCTGAGAGGCCCTATGGGTCAACTTGGCTCGCGCCACACTTCATCCTCGACAACCCTGGTTGTCTGTAGTTTACTGGTTGCCATAATTGCGGTCTGACTATTGAGCCGAACGTTTGTGTACGAAAGAGTGCAGAGTCCATTGTTCGCCACGCGGCAGTGGCCGAGGGTGTGCCCGATTAGGAAATATATGAATTGCCGGCGGAAACCTTGTCCTTCTTGTTCACGTTCTTCAGTTACCACCAACATCGAGGCATGGCCGACTGCGACAACAGCGACATGCCGGTCTCGCAGCCTGCAAAGCGAAATGCCAACTCGCCGCCGCCGACGCCGCCCTCGCCAGTGGGCTCAGAAGCTGGTGAGAGACCACTTATCGTTGGGCAAACTGGACAATGCTGACGGGGGTCCCTTTGTCGAATTTAGAGGTCAAGTTGTCGCGGAAGCGTGAGCGGGAGGTATCGCAAGAGCCGGCAACGGTGCCGACGCCAGCAGAGGTGCGCCGTCGCGAGCGATATGACGTTGTACTAATGCTGTGTTGTGAAGGACGGCGCTCGCGAAATACGGGCCCCAAAGAAGAAGAACCGTGGCCAACTGGACTCGACTGCGGAAGAGGACGACTCTGGCTCGAGATCACGCTCAAGTTCGCCAACGCCAGCCCTTGGTTCGCCTCCCCAAGAAATGAAAATCAGAGTGCGACAAATCAGCCAGGGCGTCGAGGATCTCAACTGGCGCAACATGCATAAATCAGACGACGACTCACCCCCAAAGATGTCGGTCGATGGCCAGACTGTGCCCGAGGAATCCCAGGATGATAACGAGATGGACGTCCCACTAGACGACTCCCTGGCCAGCTCATCGCAGCCGAAATCAGTCAACGATCCACAGCAGATACCGGTCGACATTACTGTGACCGTGAATGGCGCTCATTCTCGCCGAGATTCTGATTCAGACTCGGGCGAGCGGGAGAAGGGTCTTAAGCGCAAGCATCCCGAAAGAGGGCCTAGCCAGGAACCCCCGGAAAAAGATGCCGTCCCAGAGACTTCCAAACGCCCCCGAGACGACGCGGATAAAGACGATAATCCGCGTGAGACTAAACGGCCATCACCACCCCCAGATGCTCCCCCGAAGCCTGCGAAAAAACTGGTGCGAATCTCTCATGTTCCTCTGTCACGTCTGATTGACTCGTTTATTAGGGTGGATTCATGGCCTATGCAGCAAACAAATCGCCGTTCTCAGCCGTCAAGGGGCCCAATATATTCGCGTCAGCATCCTCATCCACTTCGGCCACACCACCCTCCGCGTCCCCATCGCCCTTTGCGGCACCTGTTCTTGGAGAGTCCTCGAAGCAAGCTAGATCTTTGCCCGCCAGCACAGAAGTTGCTTTCACGCTACCTCCATCCTCCGTTCCCTCGTCGCCTGCCAAAAAGTCCGGCTTCACCGCGTTTGCCACGACCAGCTCGCCATTCAAAGCCAGCCGAAGCAAGTCTCCTCCACGTAAGAACGCGTCTGGCGCGAAAAATGCCTTTTCGGCGTATAAAGGCGCAGGTGTTCATGCCTTTGCGGTGCCTGGTTTCAAGGTGACACGTGCTAGTTCACCTTCTCCATCATCTCAGACTCCAGAGAGTGGCGGGGAGGACGAGCCGAACACGTTTGGCGACAAACTCCGTGCAGGACGAGACGATAGTGATGAAGACGATGGTCCAAAGCTGAATCTGACGGAGCAAGATCGTAGGTTCTTGTTTCATCGGCAGAACCTTTACTAATAACGTTTGCTACAGGTATTACTGGAGAGGAAGAGGAGGATACCATGTTCTCCGTTCGCTGCAAGCTCTTCGCCTTGGATAACCAGGCGTGGAAGGAGCGAGGAGTGGGCGTGCTGAAAGTGAACGTGCACAAGACCACCAACCGAGCACGGATATGTAAGTTTCCCCGTTGTCAAGGTTCGTCTTCTCTGAGCGTTTTGTAGTGATGCGTAAAGAAGCAGTACACACGACGCTGCTCAACGTATCTCTTTTCCACGGCATGTCTTGCAGTGTAGCGCAGGACCCAAGATATCTACGCTTCAGTGTCATCGAGAAAGGTACCCAGACGACACATTTCAATCTACGGGTAAGTCGCACTGTTGTTTAGATGCCACTCAGGATATAACTCCACCTTTAGCTTAGCAATGCCTCAGTGACGCAGGATCTGCTGAACAACATACGCGATCGCATCCCGGATGCATGAGTCTAACAAGAACTGATTGGTGGTAAAATTGGTCTATTCCGGTCTGTATTGCTTTCCGCTACGTCTTATCATATATCCTACATGTAGTATTTACCAATGATTATAAAGTCTATACATGCTCTCCAGTTAGGGATTCTGAGAGAACAGAATACCTACTTCGGGAATCGGGCCGTGTTATTCCGGGCCACTAACTTCCTCAAGACCAACACCATGTCAAATTCATTGTCATCTATCCCTCTCAGTCCTCCCTGTCACCCTCCATCTGGACTATCCGACAGTCATGCCGCTTCAGTGGATCTCACAGGAATACTTGAGCTCCGCGTCAACTCCTCTTCCGTCGGTCTCTATCCCGTACCACCACCAACGATTTCCAACGACACGCTCGCCGCCACAGCCATGACCCCAGGCACTGAGCACCTCTCCAGCTACCCAGGCTCGATCTGCCTTCTCAGCGGACCCCTCGGCGACTTTCTAAGGTACTCTCGCCAGGAGGCATCGAAATGGTTAATCGACATTGCCCATGATATCTGCGATCCTGCTCATCTCCGTGGCTCCCTGCTAATTTGGAACGAGTCGGAGTGGTGTCCTGTTACCAACACCGACCCGTTGACTGCGTCCGTCTACCGCTATGATGTTCCGGCTGGGATTACTATTGGGCTCTCGAAGATTAGTCTTCGCGAGGGGAAGTCTATTGGTACCGATGCAGTGAAGCGGCGCGATGAAGAGTGCTGCTGGGTGACTGGGATCGAGTATCCGTTAGCGAATACTCACATTTGCCCGAAGCGCATGGGGGATCATGTTGCGCGAATCGTGTTCAGTACGTTCGTGACATCTCATCATGATGGCACCCCAAGTCTCTCAGTCTATGACGAGATATGCAGTTTGAGCTTGTCGATGACGCTCGATACGTGGTTTGATACGTACGAGTTAGGGTTCCGATTCGTCTCCCCGGTGAGGATCCAATCTCATTTCTCGCATTTCCATTGGGTCACACGACGTTTTAGAACAACTATGAATGTCATATGTTCAGTATCGACATACCTGACAGGGAGTACACGGTAATGGGACGAATTCGGAAACCAACAACTCTCCCCGCTATCCATGGCCACCCTGCACGCCCTCCCCGGTCCGAGCTAAGCAATATCCCTCCTCCAGGCCTCTTTCGATGGCATTACTACAGTGCGTTCTCAAGAGATTTGCCCATGACGAGTATAAAGATCTCCCGAATATTAACTTTCCGGAGCTGCCTATTCGGATGGAGGGGGACTCTGATGATGATGGAACGGACAGCGAGGCGGATTGGCCATCGAAGGCTTTGGATCTTGGGAGAGATGTAGAGAATAGTAAAGAGGAGGGTGAGGAGCGTCATCGAGCGGTTGCGGAGTGGAACTCAAAGACCGTGTAATCATGCCTGTGTTAACCACCATGTTAATCGAGTTAAATGTATCTTACAATTAGTTCCTGTACAACAGTTGATTTAAATTTGCGATGACATAAGAATGCCCTTGCGCCACACAAGCGTACTCTGACAATCGAGCAGCAAAATTTCCGATTGGTCAATGACAGAATCAAGTAAAGTCTTGATAAAGATCTAGGGTGGTGAAGTGAACCCTAGGTTTTGATACACCTCGGGTTTACTGCGGTAAATAACGGTATTGATACAGTATTGAAACCCTCGGGGTCAGGAGGTAGGTTTCAATGCCGGCACGTGACTACTGCACGTGCCGGTGCGCTGGCGCTTAGAGATCCTGGAGGTGGCGGGAGCAAGGCGGAATGAAGGCGGCGGGGCGCGGCGCCACATCACGTGTCCGAAACACGTGCCGGTATCGAAACCGTTAGTTTCAAAACCTGAGGCTCCTGGCGGGTCGGTATCGATACCGTTACGAACACCCCGGGAGGTTTACTGCGCCGCCCTTAAAGATCATTCAACAAGCCTCTCGCATTGCGCAAAATCTTTTTCAAATCATAAGGGCCTGACGTACGACGAAGCGTGCGCCACACTGCCTCGATCCTCTGCCCCAGAGAGGCTCGAACTCTCGACCTTCCGATGGACTGGGATTTTGGCGAGATCCTAACAGTCGGACGCTGTAACCAACTCAGCCATGGGGCAAGTAACAAGTTTTGCGACTATGCCCACAAGTTGGCGATGTAGTCGATTAACAAGAGCAAGCCTTTCCTCAGCGTCCTGATGTTCGGGACATTTTGAGAGTCGTTCCACAATGGTGGGGTGAGGTTGCATCATTTTTCTTGAAACCAAAAGCACTAAAAGCAAGGCTGATTAGTTGCTTTGTAAAAAGATTCTTCCCCAAGAACAAAGTCTTGTGACGGTCCTCGAACGATGACCCTGACAATAGATGAAGTCGCGGTTCACTGCCTGCCGTATAGCGTGTCCCATGTAGGTCTTTGATGTTGGCTTCAAAGTGCCATTCACGACGCCCTTCGAATCATTGGATGGTCACCGCTAGGGCGTGTAGCAAACACTCGTGATTGGTGGGACCTGTGCAGTTTCCATGTGTCGCGCGTTGGAGCATTGTCAAAAACGTGTTCGTGCTAAGGAGGATTTTAGCCATTGGGCGCAGTCCACAATTTCACATACCCTGGAGAGAAGTGCGAACGGATACTCTCGACGGAAAACGTGCTTGACGGCAGTGGCCTTCCAGTAGGGAGAGAATCGCGGTCGTGGTTGATAGCATCCAGCTGCACGAGGATTGTCGTACTGGTCGACCGCGTGGATATTGGCAGCATTGACTTTATGTTAGGGCTTGATGAGAAGTAGAGTCACGTTCTGTTCACTGCGAGAGATTGTATCCGGAAGGGCTGATTGATGGAAGAGAAAAAGCAATAACCCGATCATAAAACTTCGATGATCTTGTTTCCTTTTATCATTCGACACGCTCAGAGCCTCGGAGTCCTCGATAGGCTCAAGCCTAAATGACTTTCTGTGCAAAACATTGGCCGAATAGCGAGATCGGATTCAATTCGACTACAACTGATGAGCTACTTCAATTCAGGCAACTGAACTTATCGAGTAGGAAATTATACAACTTCGCCTTCCGCCTATGACGCCGCGACTGCTTTGGAAAGTAAGGTTGGTCATCATCGGGCTTTTCTACAATGTAGTCCATCCGCAGCGTCCTCGCGTCCAGGTCGGAGACCAACGATTCAAACAGGGCGAGTGCTTGCGCCGCGTTGATTCGTTCCCAGGGTTCGTTGTGAGTCATTTTTTCGACCAACGGGGCCAAGAATTCGAGACCATCATAAGTCTACATTGCAAGGCTTCGTGTTAGAAATGACGGAGATCTAATTTGACCTAACTTACCTCGAGAAACACTGGCGCAGGACATGGTTACCAACTTGGTAGATGTCGAGTTGAAAGCTTGATAGAAAGGAATGACAGGCTCAGCAAACTCAGGAGGCGTTTTGTCTTGCCCTGCCCTTCCGAAGCGGAACGAGTCTGGTGAGTGCTGGCCTTCAGGATAGATAGCGCAGTCTCGAAGTCGAAGAATAGTAGTTCATCGGTCCCACTGCCGACCTCGAGCGATTTTGATCATTTTATACAAGCCGTCAGTGGTCCATGGGCGAATCAGCGAGAAGCTGGTAGGAATGAGCGATGAAGTATCCATCATGATGTTGCCTCTGCACGCGTCACTGGTAGATGATGAGTTGCGGAACAGAGGACGAGTCTTTTGTACTTACTTGTGCGCGATCTTGTTGTCGTGCATGAACTTTAGACCTTGAAGGATTTGGCGAATCGCCTCCAGACATTCGCTCCGCCGCAGAAATGGTGGGTCGTCGAACTCCCGTAGAAACGGCATAACGAAGATTGTGGTCCCGTCGATCTCCAGCTCGGCCAAGATTGGGACGGTACGATTATGCGGAGATTGCGCTTCTGGCTTCCGAAGTTCGTCGAGAACGATCTTCTCAGTGTCAGAGTTATAGAACCGAAGCATGACATGGTATTTGTCTGAAACTCGGATAGCGTCGTTGATGTGCTCATGCTGAGGGAGGTAAGCAGGAATCGAAAGATGTATAACCCGCACTTACCCTAAAAGGAGCGCCACATGATCCTCCGGTACTATTCGTAGTCGTACTTGATAGGACTGGCTTCCATTCAGGATGGAAACGCGGCGTAACTGGTATCCTGCTGCAAGAAGCGTGTGGTAGTTGTCTACCCAGAATCGCTCTTTGGGAGTAATCTCGAGGGTGGATCTCATGGTCGTTGGGAAGCGTTGGAATATTCTTGTCGAAGGTGAAGGTTCGGAGTAGGGAGCCACATTTCTTCGAGTACTAGCCTTTTGTATCCGTAACAGATCATTACTTGGGTCCGCGTTCTTGTCCTTAATTGAGTAGAGAGCCACATTTCTGTTCAGTACAAACAATTGGATATGGAAGGAGATCAAACGCCATGTTCCGAGGTTCTTGTTCCTTAATTCTCGTTTGAGACACTCAGAGCATCGGGGTCGTCAACCGTTCTGTGCAAAGCGTTGGCCAATGCCAGTATTGCATTCAATTCGACTACAACAACAACAGATGAGCTACATCAATTTCAGGCAACCAAACTTATCGAGTAAAAAGTTATATAACTTCGCCTTCCGCCTGTGGCGTCGCGAATTCTTCGCGAAGAGAGGACTGACGCGATCGGGTTTCTGTACAATGTAGTCCATCTGTAGGGTCCTAGCATCTAGTCTAGACACCAGAAATTCGAACAAGTCAAGTGCCTGTGCGGCATCAATTCGTTCATAGGCATCGTTGGCGGTCATCGATTCGACCAACGGGCCCAAAAAGTCAAGACCATCATACGACTAAATTAAGGATCACCTCTTAGAAACCACAAAGATGAGGGGTAGACCAAACTCACCTCGAGAAAACATTGGCGCAGGACGTGATTACCAATCTGGTAGATGTCGAGTTTGAAAGCTTGATAAAGAGGAATGACAGGCTCAGCAAACTCTGGAGGTGTTTTATCTTGCCCCACCCTTCCGAAGCGGAGAGAGTTCTCGGCGTGCTGGCCGTAAGGATATATGGCAGCAGTCTCAAAATCGATAAAGTAGTAATTCATCGGTCCCACTGCGGATCTCGTGCGCCATTTAATTCTTGTATGCATGCCGTCGGTGGTCCATGGGCGAATCAATGAAAAGCTGGTTGGAATGAGCGATGAACTATCCATCATGATGTTGCCTCTGCACGCGTCACTGGTGGATTCTAAGTCACAGAACAAAATAACGAGTTGTTTGCGCTTACTTGTGCGCGATCTTTTTCTCGTGCATGAACTTTAGACCTTGAAGGATTTGGCGAATAGCCTCCAAACATTCACTCCGCCGCAGAAACGGCGGGTCGTCAAACCGACGCAGGAAGGGCATGACGAAGATCGCGGTACCGTCAATCTCGAGTTCGTCCAAGATGGGCACGGTGCGATTATGCGGAGACCGCGCTTCTGGTTTCCGAAGTTCGTCGAGAACTACTTTCTCAGTGTCGGAATTATAGAATCGGAGCATGACATGACATTGGTCTGAAATGCGAATGGCGTCGTTGAGGTGCTCATGCTGAAAGACGGTAAGTAGGTATTGAAAGATGTATAACCCAACACTTACCCTGAAACGGAGCGCCACATGGTCTTCTGGTGCTATTTCCCACTCGTACTTCACAGCGCTTGGCTTCCATTCGGGATGGAAACGTGGGCGTAACTGGTATCCTACTTCAATAAGCTTGTGATAGCTGTCTACCCAGAACCGCTCCTGGGGAGTAATCTTGAGGGTGGATGTCATAGTAGTTGATATGGTGTTGTCGAAGCTTCGGAATAGAGAGCCACATTTTTTCGAGTACAAGCCTTTTTGTATTGGGACGTGATGAAGCAGATCATTACGCGGGTCCACCATTCTTGTCCTCTAATTGTCAACTCTTGTCAGCTCGCCGAACAATGACGTTTATTCTCAGCATACTGCTTCCTTCTTCTTCCGAGTCCTCAATAGGCTCAAGCCTAAAGTGTCTGTTTCTGTGCAAAACATTGGCCGAATAGCGAGATCGAATTCAATTCGACTACAACTGATGAGCTACTTCAATTTCAGGCAACTGAACTTATCGAGCAGGAAATTATACAACTTCGCCTTCCGCCTATGACGCCGCGACTGCTTTGGAAAGTAAGGTTGGTCATGATCGGGCTTTTCTACAATGTAGTCCATCCGCAGCGTCCTCGCGTCCAGGTCGGAGACCAACGATTCAAACAGGGCGAGTGCTTGCGCCGCGTTAATGCGTTCCCAGGGTTCGTTGTGAGTCATTTTTTCGACCAACGGGGCCAAGAATTCGAGACCATCATAGGTCTACATTGCAAGGCTTCGTGTTAGAAATGACGGAGATCCAATTTGACCTAACTTACCTCGAGGAAACACTGGCGCAGGACATGGTTACCAACTTGGTAGATGTCGAGTTTGAAAGCTTGATAGAAAGGAATGACAGGCTTAGCAAACTCAGGAGGCGTTTTGTCTTGCCCTGCCCTTCCGAAGCGGAACGAGTCTGGTGAGTGCTGGCCTTTAGGATAGATAGCAGCAGTCTCGAAGTCGATGAAGTAGTAGTTCATCGGTCCCACTGCCGACCTCGAGCGATATTTAATCATTTTATACAAGCCGTCGGTGGTCCATGGGCGAATCAGCGAGAAGCTGGTAGGAATGAGCGATGAAGTATCCATCATGATATTGGCTCTGCACGCGTCACTTGTAGATGATGAGTTGCGGAACAAAGGAACGAGGTGTTTTCACTTACTTATGAGCGATATTTTTATCATGCATGAACTTCAGACCTTGGAGAATTTGGCGAATAGCCTCCAGACATTCGCTTCGCCGCAGAAATGGTGGGTCGTCGAACTCCCGCAAAAAGGGCATGACGAAAATTGCGGTACCGTCGATCTCCAGCTCGTCCAAGATTGGGACGGTACGATTATGCGGAGATTGCGCTTCTGGATTCCGGAGCTCGTCGAGAACGATCTTCTCAGTGTCGGAGTTATAGAACCGAAGCATGACATGGTATTTGTCTGAGATTCGGATGGCATCGTTGAGGTGCTCATGCTGAGAGGTATGTTAGTTAGTAGGTAGGTTCCGAACGATTTATCGACTTACC